TCCCTACACCAGATAGCTTGCACGTGCTGCTGCCAAAACTGACATGATATGACAAGAAAGAGATACGACGCGAAGAGAGAAGAGATGCCTCTGAAGGCGCTTCCTCGGAGGGCTGAGGCAGGCTCTCTGAGGCACCTTCAATAGGGTTCCTGAGTGACCCGACCCTTGTCTTTGCCTTTGTCAGCCCCTGGGGGCCCCGTCCCTGGGGTGACCTGGCCTGGCTGGTCAATCCACCCGCAGACAGCCACGGGATCGGCAACTGATGCAGCTTCCTCCTTTTTTGTTTCGAGAGTGGCCACCTGTGGCAGGTGGATGGTGCCCCCCGTGAGGTGCCCGAGGAGGGCCTGGATGTCGCCACGCAGTGCAGCAGCTTCGGTGGTTGCCGTCTGTTGCTGGGTGACGACGGTGGCAAGCCCTCGTTCCAAACCTGAAACGTGCTCCGTGAGTGTGGCCTGGGATGAGAGAACGCCCGCAAGCTGAACCTGCATGTTATCCACCGTGTTGGCAAGCAGCTCGTGCTGTTGTTCCATGTGTTGGATGCGGGTCGTGGCGGCATCTGGCAGTTTAGGGGCCGTTGCGAAGCGTTCGCCGAAGGTGTTGAGTTCGTGAGATGCCACGCTGTATTCATCACCTGATGAGAGGATCTCGACGTCGTCAGCGTCGCCTGGTACCTCGGCGGCTGTGGCAGCGCCCCCTTCGGTGTGGCCCCCACCTTCAGCCGCCACCGTGCCAGGCTGCGGGTCATGACCACCTGATCCTTGGACGGCCGTCTGCTCGGCAGCTCCATCCGTGCCGTGCGGGGGTGCAGAGGAGCTGCGGCCTGGGGCGCCGTGTGATCTTGCGTGCGGCGTGGCGTCGCGTTTCCCACTGGAGGATCGGTGGCGCTTGGCTAAAGGCTCCTCCTTGGGGATCAGGAGCGGTGCGACGCCCTTGCCTTTGGGCGTGGCAGTCATGAGGTCGTGGAGGTAAGGGCTCTGGGCCGCTTTGGTGAGGAGTGTGCCAGTGGCGGGGCTGAAGCCGCCACCACGGGCTGGCGGCGTCACAGGCTCTGTGATAGTGGTAGGGGTGACAATGGTAACGTTGTCCCTCTTCGGCACCACCTCAGCCAACGGGGCCTCGGTGATGCTCCACGGGATGGGGCACCCTGCGACCTGTACCGTATATGTGAGTGGGGGACGATGGGCGCGCACTAAGGCAAACTGAGCCGAAGTGGCTGGGTCCCAGGCGGTGTGGTAGACCTCACAGTCCCATTTAACGGACGGGCCCGTGAGAGTCTTGGCGAGCTGGGTCAGCGTGGCGTGGCGTGCCGCAATGCCAGTGATGCGGTAGCGCGTCTTGGCGAGGGTGGCTTCGCAGCCACGGATGCTGACGGCAGCAGCCTTGGCGGCGTCTGACCCTCGTGCAACACGGATCCCCAATAAGCCTGACTTGCCGTGCCTGACGACTCCTAGGGCCTTGAAGTCCACCGACTTCTGGAACGCATCTGCCATCGTGATGGGCTGGTCCTCAGGGAACCACACGGTCTGGTACTTGTCTGCAGTGGGCTCGTCTGCACCTACGTTGCTGAGGTCGTAGGTGGCGCCGAGTTGCCCTGAACCCGCCAAGACCTTGTCAACCGCTTGAAGACTGACGCCGAAGGTGGCAGCCAGGGACCTCTTTCCGACGCCCGATCCATACCTGCCTAGGCTTTTGCAGGGTTCGAGGATGGTGACGGCTTTAAAGTTGCCGTGGAAGAGGGCCTTGAAGGTGTCCTGGAGCTGACTATCGAGCTCCTGGCGGCGAGCGTCTTTCTTGGACTCCCTGTGCTTTTGGTTTTGGCGCGCCTTGTCCTGTGGAGCGGAGTCCCTTCGGAAAGGACCCTTGGCGCGTGGACCACCGTTCACGGGGGCACCTCCCGAGAACTGGTCCTCGAAGGCCTGATGCATGGAGGGGACTGCGGCGATGGCCTCGGTTTCATGTATGGTCGCCCGAATCCAGCATACGTGGTCGGCAGGGTCGATGGTGGCGACGGCTACTTTTTCCGTGCAGGCGACTTCCTTGGTGCCCAGCTGGTACACGGTCACGGGGACGTGCGTGTGGACCACTTTGGGCGCCTTGGGGTGACGCTTCAGCACGGGGACGGCGAGCTCGGTACCGACGTAGTTATCGTTTTTTGGGCCCATGACAGCAATCGCAAGCTGACCCGTGGTACGCTTACCCTGCTCGAGGTGGTGTTGCAGCAGCCGTTCACCGCTCTCGTAGTCGTGGAGGCTGATACCGGGCTTGTACGTCTTGCCGTCGTCAAGTGATGTGGGTTCGGCGAGGACTGGGACCTTCCAAAAGGCCGGGTCCAAGGCAATGAATTGGGTGTCCGCAGCCTGAAGACGTGCGGACGCAGCTGGTGGGTGTGATGTGTCACCACCAATGCGCTTAGGCTTGCTGCGCTGGTGGTGATCCAGCGTGTAGCTGATCTGGTTGGCGGCACACATGCGGATCAAGGCACTGCCGAGCTTCTTTGTGTTGGTCTTGTGCATGTCGTACGTGGCCTGAAGCTCGTCCGCGTTCAGCTCGGCAAGCCCGTTGTATGCGGCCGTGGGGCGGTCAGACCCCGCTTGCTTGAAAGCTGCGATGCAGTCCTGCTTGCGTTGGAGGAGAGACCCTTCAGCAGCAGGACGTGAGCTCGGAGGCTGCTTGGAAGAGCGACGGCGCTCCGGCTTACTGGGGGCCATTGCTGCGGGCGCTCTGGTGGGGAGAGGTGACGCGAATCAGTAGGGTCCTGCTGGGACCCCTCCGGTCTCGCGAGGCCTGGGAGTCTGACTCCGAGGCGGGGCGCTTCGCGTCGCGGCTGCGGTCTGAGTGCTGGGCACTCTCGAGCCGAGACTGGAGAGAGAGAAAGAGAGAGAGAGAGAGAGAGAGAGAGAGAGAGAGAGAACGAGAGAGAGAGAGAGATATAGAAAGAGAGAGAGAGAGGGGGGACAAAACACAGATAAAGAGATATATAACAAAGAAAGAGAGAAAGAGATATAGAGAGAGAGAGAGAGAGAGATGGGGGGGAGAGAGAGAGAGAGAGAGAGAGAGAGAGAAAAGAGAGAGAGAGAGATAAATACTGAAGGAGGGAGGAGGCAGGAGAGGGGAGGGAGAAGGGAGGAGGGAAAGGGAGAGGGGATAGGGCACAGATGCAGAAGGGTGAGGGAAGAGAGGAGGGAGAGAGAAGGGAAGAGAGCAGGGAGGAGGGAGAGGGAGGAGGAGCAGGAAGGTAAGAGCGTGAACGTTCGAGGAAATCCTAAGCGAAAGCGCCGTTCCTGAAGGAAGTCTCGGGCGGGACCCCACGACGGGCGGGCGATCCCCTGACGGGCGGGTCGGGCGGGTGGGACATTCAAGCGGGATGCCTGAGTATGGCGAGAACGCGGTTACTAAGTAAATTGTAACGGCGCCCTTGGCGCAGCGTCCTGAGCGTCGAACGCGTTATTTCTGAAAGAATTGCATGGAAGTCGCAGGCGAAAGCGCAATTCCTGACTGAAATGTGAAGGGTTCTCTGGCGGGAGCGGGGGTCTTGATTAAATTGTAAAGAAGTCTTGATTCAAGCGCGAAGAAGTCTCAAGCGGGAGCGCCGTTCCTGAGTAAATTGTGAGGGAGTCTCAGGTGGGAGCGGGGGTCCTGACTCAATTGTGAGGAAGTCATAAGCGGGAGCACCGATCCTGAGCAAATTGTAAGGGAGTCTCAGGAGCGGGTGTCCTGAGTAAATTTGGAGGAAGTCTCAAGCGGGAGCAGCTGTTGTTGCACTCCGGGGGGCCAGGGGCCCAGTTTGAGCACCAAGACTTTCCTGTCAAAACACAGGGTGCGATCGTCGAGGGGCACACTTTGATTGAGAAGAAACAGTGTGCAGCGGTGAGAAGGGATCAACAATAATCATTCTTCCGAAATCAGAATTCAAGAACAACAACGACAACAACAAGCAGAAAAAGCAGACTGCGCGCAGCGGAATCACCGTTCAACCTCCTAAATCTGATGATGAGGATGCTGTGCTGGGTTGCGACGTGAAGCGCAGCGCCACGTGCTTGCGAGGTGTGACCACCCTTGGCCCAACGCTGGGATTCGGTGCGGCGGGAGCGCCATGAGCGGCAGCGACTGGCCATTTCCCACATGTGCTTCCCGTTTTGGCCCATCCGTGGCGGCGGAAACAAAGAAGATAATTGGTGGGAGGGGGTTGAAAAATGCGCCTAGCTGGGCAGAGCAAGCATGGACGCATAATGGTCACACGGAGCTCCTTCAACACACGGGTCGCGCACACATCAGTCTCTCGTCGCGTGCGAGGCAGCAAGAGGGGATGGGAACATGAAGGGGAGGGGGAAGGAAGTATGGGGATGGTGGGAGCAGAGGTGGGAGCGAGGGGGCAGGATGGGGGGAGGGACTACCAGCCACCACGCGTGGGTGCACAGCAGGTGGACCTCCCCTTTCTGAATCGTATCTGTGTCCATATATACACATATATAATAGCGGTGGTAGCGGTGATGCATCCTCGCCACTCCAGAGTGTCTTCCGGAAAGCCAGGCCGACGGGCCGCGACGGCTGAACATGATGATGATGATGATGATGATGATGATGATGATGATGATGATGATGATGATGAGGATGATGATGATGATGGGGACACGCAGTAGTATGTGCAACTTTCGCTGCCAGAGGGAATCGCATACGTGACCAACTCACGGTGGCGACAATGCAAGCACGCAGTCGTGACCATGCATGTTCGGAAAGCAGCACTTCCGCCCATCGTCGCATGGGCGATGCGCACTGGCGTTTCACTCGATGAGCTTCATCACTCTAAACTTCCAAACTTGCATCGGTCACCATGTTGGCCCTCGTTATTGTCGGAAAGCTACAAAGACTTGGCTACGATAGCCCCTGCAATTTACATTTCCCCTCTTCCATTACGTTCTCGCGGGCCCCCATTTTCCCTATGATTGTGCCCCTCGTTCGCTTCCAATCTCCCGGCGACAGGGTGAGAGGAAGGAGATGATGATGAGGTGAACCTGCAGAACGGACAAGAGACGGGGGCTTTACTGGGGAAGCTTCAGAATGGCTTCTTGGCCAACATGCTTGACAAATATACCAAGCCCTCCCGTCACATTCTGGGCCCAGGGGTCTGGCGCCTCCCCGTACAAAACGCAAGCTCCTTGTCTACGTTCTGGTCAACTCCCGCTGCGATGTGAATGCAACTATTGTTCCCTACCGTCCTGTGGTGTCGGGTCCTCGTTTGCACTCTGCAGCGCCCCACCTCTCCCACCTCCTCCCGCTGCCCCCTCCCTCTCCGCATCTCCCTCCCCATGTCCGCGCACCCCTCACACGTTTCGTGGCACCATGGGGAGCTCCACTGACGGCCTCGTTGGCAGGGCTCGCATTCCGCATGATTTTCTGGCTCACCTCTCACAGGTTTAGTGGCTACGTGGGGAAATCCGCTGGACGCCCCAATCGCAGGGTTCGAAAGCCGCCCTGCCCATTTCGGCAAACCGTTCACACATTTCGTGGCCACATGGGGAACTCCACGGTCCAAGGGGGAAGATTCGCATGCAACCGCGCGGTTACACTTGCATATGGTTGGGTTCTTCGCCAGGATTGCTTCCGCTGCCAACAATTACATGCATCATTCCGGGATTTGCGCAACACTTATCGCACTTGCAATCCCCAACCAAGATCTCACATCTTAAAAACGCCGCTACTTCTCCTCCGGTGTAGATCTTGTGCGCTCCGTTGTATTCGCTTGCGCCGGTGTATGCTCCTCATGCGGACACAAAGGTAAATGGTCGCATCGTGGAGCGGCTGCTAATGAGATGGAAAGCGCAGCGAAACGGAAGGCAGTGACTGAGCACACCGAGAGCTCGGCCAATGCGAATAGGCATGTCGACACGTAGGCATCACATCCGACACTGATGGGATAAACCACGTCACATTAAAGAAAGATGGTGGGAGCGGTGTCCAAGTGAGGAGCAACGCATGATAGATGCAACGCCAACGCAATGAGCACGAGTGGCAGGCCACATTGACGCACAAAGCGAAACAATTGGCGGCAGCGGCGCAGTCACGACGGGACAGGAGGAATGAGGAGAGAAAGGGACATGCGAACTGGACGAGGACATACCCGAGGACAAGTAGCAGCACACCGACGCGGCGTGGAGGGGCGTGTTACACGTTTTTTTCTCTGTAAAGCCACCACAATGGTGTCTCAAGGAATGAAGTGTATAAATATAAATGTGAACAGCCGGAAAACCAGGCGAAGTCGGGTACATTATGCTCCGGCCTGTGCTGGCAGACCCACATGCTGACAAAATTGGGAAAATCATGTTCCGGCCTACCCTGTCCGCCGACCCAGTCGGCGTGTGTGAGGGGCTTGGCTGTTCGAGTCGTCGTCTCCGCCAGACGGCGTCATAAACGTTACCGATCTCCCAAGCCTCGGAAGACGAGGTGCCAGACGTTACGGCTGCCTGTGCGCTCCTGGAACAGCACCCGCCCGTGTTGCTGGGCTGACACGGTGGCGGGGCTTGCCGCAGGCAGCCATCTGACTGTCAGGCCACCGCTTACAACTCCAGGGAGTGCATCGGTATGGGCGTCCCTGGTGGCCAGCGACAGGCGTCACGTTGACTTACCATTTAGCACCCCTGTGGTGCAATACCACGACCACTAGATGCGACGATTTGCCTGTCAGACCTTGCTGGATAGTGCAAATCTACTAGAACATACGCTCGAGGACGTAGGCGTCCAACAAAGACACCAACCCGCATTGTTCCGTGTTTACATCGCAACCGAGCATCAGCGTTTCGCAACGCGATGGCGAACACACGCAGATGCCCATGCATTGGTGGGGACCTAGCCCGAAGTCCTGATTTCACACAGCTGCGAATCGAGGATTCAAGTTATTGCGACGCACAGCTGCAAACTCAAACCGAAGATCGTCGCTCCATCTGTCAGTCCTTGGGACGCATCAACAACTGTATGCGTTACGCGCGTTTGGGTCATGACAGCAACCTCCACATTCAATCACCACTGTGTGTTACATGGCAAGTGCTGCAACGCGTTTCCAAGGACCGACCACATGGAGGTTTAAACCTAAATAGCGTTGCAAACGAAACACCAAACAAAGTCAATCGGCTTCAAACGAACGTTTAGTAAGGTGCTACACAACAACATACGAAACGAGGCCGCCTTTCAGCGAGCTGTCAACGAATGACTGAACGAATTTCTTCGACCACGCTGAACACAAAACGAAACGCAACACGAAAACATGGAAGCAGTGGCTGAGACTAGGGCAGCTAAGGCCGAGGCCTGAGGCTACGGAGGAGGCCGAAGTCAAGGCTTGGAGCTGGGGGGTGGGAATGGCTGAAGCTTGGGTTGGGGCCTATGGCTGCAGCGAAGACTTGAACCATACAACACGACAAACCAACAAACGAACGAGACAGAAAAACGAACCAGGGCTGCGGCAAGGCTGAGGCGTGGGCTGATACCTGCGGCTGGAATGAAGGCTAGGGGCCAGGGCAATGGCGAGGGGGCAGGTTCTGGCTGGGGTTGGGCCAAACAAAACGACACAACACAACGAACAACGAAACGAACAACGCGCGATCCAGGGCTACGGCGAGGCTAGAGATTGAGCTGAAGCCTAGGGCTGCGGCGACGGCTAGGGGCTGGGGCGAGCTTCTGGCCGGGGCTTGAGTCGAACGAAACGACTCAAGAGCACGAGACATGAAACGATCAACGAGCAATGGCTGCGGCGAGGCTGAGGCTTGGGCTGACGAGGGCAAGGGGCCCGGGCAATGGCGAGAGGAGAGCTTCTGGCCGGGGCGTGAAGCGAAAAACAGGAGAAAACAAAACGAACAACGGAACGATAAATGAGCCGGGGCTGCGGCGAGGCTAAAGCGTGGGCTGACGCCTGGGGTTGCAATGAGGGCGAAGGGCCCGGGCAATGGCGAGGGGAGGGGTTCAAGCTGGGGCTTGAACCAAACAAGACGACATAACAAAACGAACAACGGAACGACACACGAGCCAGGGCTGCGGCGAGGCCGAGGCTTGGGCTGAGGCCTAAGGTTGCGACGAGAGCTTCGGCCCCAGGCAGTGGCGAGGGGAGAGACTCGGGCTGGGGCTTGAACCAAACAAAACAACACAAACTTACTCGACGCGGAGATCCCCATATGTGTATCTATTTGCCGGGATCTTTTCCGCTGCGAGTGTCTGGGTACGAGAGGGTCTGGGTATGAGTGGGTCTGAGTAACAGAGACTGAGAGCGGGTGAGCCTGAGTGTGGGTGAGTCTGTGTGTGAGCGAGTCTGGGTGTAAGTGATTCTATGTGTATACGTGTGAGTATGGCGAATCTTGGGTAAGTGCATCTGAGTGTGAGTGGTCTGAGTGCTAGAGTGTAGGTCTGAGTGAGTGTGTGTGTGTGTGTGTGTGTTTGTGAATGGTCTGACTGTGACAGGTCTGAGTGTGATTGTGGGTTTACGTGGTCTGGCCGTATCTGAGTGTGAGCGGTCTGAATGTGAGAGTGAATCTGAGTCTGAGTGAGTCTGAGTGTGAGCTTCGGCTCAGCATATCTGACAGTGGCAGAGTCGTGCGAGTCTGAGCGTGAGCGAGTCTGGGAATGAACGGCCTGTGACGGAGCAGGCGGGAGGAAACACAGGAAGCACGTCAAGACACGCGGCTTGAGCTCACGGGCGATAGGGTCCCACGCGGGAGAAAAACACACACACACACACACACACACACACACACACACACACACACACACACACACACACACACACACACACACACACACACACACACACACACACACACACACACACACACACACACACACACACACACACACACTCACACACGCACACACACACACACACGCACACGCGCACACGCACACGCACACGCACACACGCACACACGCACACACGCACACGCACACACGCACACACGCACACACGCACACACGCACACACGCACACACGCACACACGCACACACGCACACACGCACACACGCACGCAC